CTTGGAAAAGTGGAAGGCACGCAGCGACCCACTGAACACAGGGTTGTGACCCACTTTTGGGTTTCGACCCACCAGTTGAAAACCACGGGTTTAAAGCAGTGGTTCCCAACCTGTGTAACCTCAGGACCCACATTTGTCCTCGGTCATTAAATCGTGACCCAAGTTGCACTGCAATGGAATGCACGGCATTGCGGTACTGTGCGTTCCGATGCGGGCAATAGAACTGTGGGTGGGAGGTGCAATTGGGGTGCCATTTAAATAAATAAGAATTTTTGCTCTTTTTTTAAGATCCACCCGGTCCCCCTACCTTACGAGAACTGGAGCGGATCCTCAGCCTGGGGTCCAGTGGGGGCTGCTATGATGGAGCTCCATCCATATGTGCAATGCTTGTACAGCTCCCTTGTGCACCCTGTAGAGGTGGCGGGAGCCAGAATGTGATGTCGCTCCGGTCCAGGCGCCTCTACAGGACACGCGAGGGAGCTGTAAGCAATGCACGTATGGATGGAGCCCACCCCACCTCAAGCTGACACTCTGCTCCGGGCAGCATATTTTGAATGGCTGCTCGGCGCGAGAACTGACAGCGCTGCGCTAGGGGACGGCTGAGGAGTGTCCCACCTAGAAAAGTGGAAGGCGCCCAGGACCCACTGAACATGGGGTTGCGACCCACTTTTGGGTCACGACCCACCAGTTGAGAACCAAGGGTTTAAAGGATAATGTATACAGTAAAGTGGATATCAGGACAATTAGAGCCTCTCTAATATAGGGGGAGAGTATGCCCTGCTTTAGTAATCCTTATAGAAAGTCAGCAACCTGGAAACCACACACTCCCTATATAGTGAATGCCACTCAATAGGGAGTTTGTCCAGTTCAGTAATAGTCGCTGAATGATTGCCGTAGGGAGAAGATGGGGAATGGCATTTTCGATCTGGGGTTAGATCTAGGAAGCAGAGCTTGTGCAAGAGGTCTGAAGCATTAACCACCATATTCATAATGTCATTGTGCCAGTTTGTAGAGGCTAAGAAGAGGCTGGAGATGGAGGATGTTTGTGGCTGGTCTCTAGGGCCTGTAAATGATAAAGGGTCTTTGTGATGGTTTTGGATCACTCCTTTTTCATCCTAGAGCCCTTGCATTAAAGTGCCCCCGAGAACTGATTTTAGGACATCCCATTGGTAGGGTAATAAGGCTGGGCCGTTACCATCCAAAACTTCCTTCCAAAGAATGCTATCTGATACAGCCTAATGACCCTACTGATGGCAAGTAGGGTCATTAGGATCATATTGATCATGTAGAGTGCCACATAAGGAGGTGGTGACTTTAAACTTCTTTCCAGTGCAGAAATTCTGCATACCAGAACTTCTGCCCTGGAAACAAACGTCAAAACTCTTCAGATCAGCGTTACCACACAGCCACAATGCCTAGATGTCTATTAATCTCATATCCAGACCTTGGGAAATGAGACCTATTACACATGATTAGAAACATATTAGTAAAACGTCTAAATGATAAAGAGCACACAGATGTTGAGATTGACAGGGTTCACAGATCCTTTGGACCTAGAAATCCAGACCCCCTCTAGGCTACTTCACTGTTATTAGCTGGATAATTTTTTTCAGTATCATAGAGGCAATCATGCAAAAGGTGAGAGCTTTGGGCCCAATAGACTGAGCATACTTCACTCTGCTCCCTAATTTATCTAAATATACCCTGGATCAAAGCCAAACTCTTAAACCCCTTCTGACCCTGCTACATTAATACAATATTCTTTATAGATGGGCTTTCTCTTTCATTTCTAAGTTAGGAAATCATGAAGAAGCCATCCTATTAAACATCCAGAAACAGATGACTACTGGGGCTCCCCTAGTCCTAGATCCAATGTACCCATCGCACTCCTGACCGAATAAACATTAAGTTTGCCTGAAGAAGGAACCGCTGTTGTTCTGAAACGTCGCTATATGATGTGATAGCAATCGAGTCAATAAACCGTTTTTGATTTGAAATTCTATTGGAGTGCGAGTGACTTTATACATACATTCCCCTAGTCCCAGGTCTCAGGACGTTAACATCACTAGGAGGTCACCCCCAAGTTTTTTTATCTGCTAATTATGTCACCCTAGTGCCTCCCCATTGGGAATCTTTGTCTGTCCTCCTAAACCACTCTTTCCCTTTGTGCCTAGTACCTACTATAGTTACAATCCCCTGCACTCTAGCCAGCATACCACTTGGCTATGCATCATACTCCACCCTTGCCTATTACTCCTGCTGACCAGTAGCCAACTGCAAAGATCTTTCACACTACACTCCAAAGAAAGTCCTCTCAGAACTTTACCATTTCAGCCCACCCTTCTTGGAACCCACAACCACTTCTTGAATTAACCTGCATACCCCATGACCATTTTATTCAACTTGTAGGATTATTTGCCAGACCCAGATTAATCTCCATACCCCATGACCATCTTATTTAACTTGTAGGATTATTTGCCAGACCCAGATTCATCTCCTGAGCTTTGTATATATTTTTCTAACGGGAAAAGATTTCATCGAAAGCACCCAGGCTCTGAGCCCCACTTCCCAGTTCTCTTCACTGTTCTCCGCAGGCTGGACCCTGCTCTTTTCCAGTACGGTTCTCCATTTTCTAATGTTTCCATACTGTATAATGGGTTTGGGGCTTGAAATGACCACTCTAACATTTAGCTCTTTCCATAATGGGCTCTTTTTGGGTCACTGTACAGGTCACCGCCCATACCTCATAGTTCCAACCATCTTACAATATTACACCTAGTTCAGCAAATGCTATAGAGATAAAGTGTGCTTCCCAAATACTATGCCTACAATTTCACTAATCTCTGCGGGCCTCACCATTTTTCTAATAAATAGGAGTTTTTTTATTTTAGATTTTCTAATGCATTATTACTGTATGTCAGTCCGGGGCCTGACATTAAGCCATTTATTGCCTCATAGTTCCAATTTTACTGCAATATCATATGCCTTGCTTTTACCATCCAACTCTTAGGTCCACCCATTGCAGCCAGAGCTGTGGACATGGATTATATTTGCTGTACACACTCCATCGAATACTGGTATGGATCCCATAATTCTTTAACCGCTGAGATACCCTTTTGGTTTTCAGAGATGACCCATTTGTTATAATATCTACCTATAGCAGGATTTACAAACATATTTAGCCTGTTGATTCAGGTTGGAGAGGCTTGCCACTGCCAGATGCCTATCTCCATTATCCCCTTACTTGGTTGTTAAAGAGGGAAAAGGTTCTTGCCACACCCCCACCCTTATAGACCCACAAGCAATCTCTTCATTATTGCACACTTGCTTCATTTTAGCAGCCTATCGTGATGATCAAAAGTGTCTGCAGACCACCAATGAAGAGTTGGGGGTTAATTATCACTACCACTGACCACCAATAAAAGGCAGGGAGGGAGGGTTATCACTGCCACTGACCACCAATGAAATGCAGGGAGGGAGGGTTATCACTGCCACTGACCACCAATGAAAGGCAGGGTTGGGGATGGTTATCACTGCCACTGACCACCAATGAAAGGCAGGGTGGTTATCACTGCCACTGACCCCAATGAAAGCCAGGGTAGGGCGGGTTATCACTGCCACTGACCCCAAAGAAAGGCAGGGTGGGGGTGGTTATCACTGCCACTGACCACCAATGATAGTCAGGGTGGGAGTGGTTATCACTGCCACTGACCCCAAAGAAAGGCAGGGTAGGGGTGGTTATCACTGCCACTGGCCACCAATGAAAGGCAGGATGGGGGTGGTTAACACTGCCACTGACCACCAATGATAGGCAGGGTAGGGGTGGTTATCACTGCCACTAACCCCAATGAAAGGCAGGGTAGGGGTGGTTATCACTGCCACTGACCACCAATGAAAGGCAGGGTGGGGGTAGTTATCACTGCCACTGACCACCAATGAAATGCAGGGTGGTTATCACTGCCACTAACCCCAATGAAAGGCAGGGTGGGGGTGGTTATCACTGCCACTGACCCCAATGAAAGGGGGGGTAGGGGTGGTTATCACTGCCACTGACCCCAATGAAAGGCAGGGTAGGGGTGGTTGTCACTGCCACTGACCACCAATGAAAGGCAGGGTGGGGGTAGTTATCACTGCCACTGACCACCAATGAAATGCAGGGTGGTTATCACTGCCACTGACCACCAATAACAGGGTTTACTATTGCTGCCACCAATGTTGGCGGTACTTTTCCTCCTTCTGACCCCAGCAATGGGGCTTCTTTTGCTTCCCCTTTCTCTTGTACCCAGCCATATTTTATGTAAAAGGTGGCACACTACATGACATACACCATCATCTGACGCCCACTTCATTGACCACGCCTGTTCTTTGCTATTCTTCTTCAGGTTCCCGTCAAGGTCCCCCTCCTGATTACTTTACAAATTCTGGCACTGTGGTCCAATGTTGTCACCACCAGGAACCATGGCCAAGCAGCCCTGGCTAGAGTGCATGCATGTATGCAGACAGGAAGTAGCTGCCTAGAGGCTGCAGGAGATCAGCAACAATGGGATGCACCAATGTATGACAAACAGCTAAAGACTAGAATTATATTTAAAACTGTGTGAATTGTTTCAGATACTCGCGCGACTTTGCTATGGGCTATTAACAGAAGGGTGAGGAGTTTGGAGAAGGGAACAATCTAGGAAAACATAGCTGGACTGGAAACATTCTCCAGTTCAGCTCACTTTCCAGTTCTGTTGTCCTAGATTGTTATCTTCTCCTGCCTTATCCCTTTTAGTGAATAGCCCTATACATGTGCAGGTCCCCCCTAACTTCAGTGACATCACCCCCCCCGTAACACTGCAGGAGCCGCACTATACCAGCCCCCTGCCCTTCTGTGTACGCCCCTCCCCCAGCCCTCCACGCTGCCCGGTCACATGCACACAGGACATCCCATACGCCTCTCTTACTGGAGAATCTTGACTGAGAGGACGCTCGGCGAATCCCCGCACTCAGCTGTCGCCTCTCAGCCAATCAGCGCAGGCTGGGCTCCGCTTCTCCTCATCCTAGCTTGTTGTGGGCCGAGTGGTGGCTGTGTGCTGGGAATGGTAGGTCGGCTGGGCCGGTGCTGCACGGAAGCTGCATGTCACCGCTATCGCTGGAGCTGCGGCCCTGACACCGGGAGGTAATGGCCATGTCTGTGTATATGTGTGCGTGACACACCACTTCCTATACTGCATCGAATCCCCCGTGACCCCCAGAGGAAGGTGTGACACTCACATGACAGCGGTGTTCCTGTAACCAGTGTGCATGTGTTTACATTGACTGCCCGTCTTCTATACAACAGGTGTTACATTGCAACAGTTTCCACAGCGAGGCATTGAGGTACTTAGGAAACCTTGGTGCAAGAGCTGACAATCTTCTGGGACTCCTAGGACTTGTTTCAGCTGGGGAAGGACTTATACACAGAAGTGTTACATGTTGGTTTTATATTTGAGGTGTCATGGTAAAGAGAACCAAGTATTGTCTGGATACAAGAGCCATGTGTATTCAGACTTCAATCACCATGTGTTTTGTGCAATAACCCAGCATGAAACACTGCATTTTTAGTAAAGACCAGACACTGCAGCTCTGTCTCCTTGTGCAGGGTGACTGGTCCTGTCTCCGCCCCCTCTTGTAGTTTTCTACAGGCAGTCTGTAGTGGGTGGGGCCCAATGGGTCCCTCCCACATCTCCTTTCTCTGCTCAGGTTCTATACAACCCAGTAATTATGTCACGGCTGAGTGATATCTGGGTTTACCATGGTATTTAGTGCACACTGAGTGGACTTATATCTTCTGTGGCTATTGAAGAATAGATTTAAATGAAAATTTTTGTGCCTGGAGTTTTGCTTTAAAAAAGAGAAGAAAAGTAAGCAGTGATTGGCTTTCCCTCACTTCCCCTCTACCACGTCATCCGGGAAATGCCCTCTGCTTCCAGCAATAAGGGAACTAGTCGCCAAGTTAGAGTCATGCATAGCCCTGCGGCAAAGGTAACCTGCCAGTGGGGACGGTAAGTACTTCTGCACGCTGCCTCTTCTTTATTTGGACTTTTACATTGTCACGGTGCCTAGTATGAGCAGAGCTGAAGTCTATGTATAGCGCAGACAGTGTTTTTTTGTTTTGGAGAGTGAGAAAGTGTTAAAACCACTGCCATATTTTTTTTTGCTGCCTGTGTATCACTGGAGAAATGTCCCCTCACTTCCTGTGCCAGAGACATAACAGGAAGTTAGTGAGGCAATTCCCCTTTTAGAACAGGTGTCCCCATTGAAAGGTTTCGCCCTCACCTCCTTGTTCTGGGGACAGCCCTCACCTTTTGGATTTCCCCTTATTCTCTGTTTAGGTGAAGGTGGTCACCGGTACAGATAGAGGGGTGCATCTCCCCTATGGGGACACAGGCAGCAATAAAAACGTGACGGGAGATCTAACCCTCCCCTACTCCATCCAGATCTTCTTAAGGAACAGCTCCAGGTAAAAATGTCCTTAACCCTTGCAGTGAGCTAGTCCTGCACTGCAAGGGTTAAGTGCTCATATTTTCCTAGGGTCAAACATAACAGTGATCCTCGCCTTATCCTCAGAGCCGGCCGGCTGTGACAGTGGTCCCTGCAGACTCTCTCCTCCTACACTGAAGCATTGTATAGGACGTCCTCGGGTCCATTACTCTGAACGTATAGAACGTGATGACTCGGGGACCTTAGGCCCCTGCAGCGGATGGGGAGAGTGGCTGCAGGGACCAGTCTAAGAGCCGGCCGGCTTGGGCGAGTATAACTTTTTGTTTATTTTTGACCTTAGGCAAAGCGAGCAGTTAACCCTTGCAGTGCCCGGGTAGCCCCACTGCAAGAGTTGATGCATTTTTTTACCAAGCCATTGTGTCACCATTACCTTGTGTGCAGTCGGCTGGAACAGATCATTAATAATCCCCTGGCCAGCAGGTTGGGAGTCCTGTGTGTGCACCTGTATGTGCGTTTTCACACATCATATATGGCATAGTCATTGTAGTGGGCTGCCCTTCATTTGATAAGTGCACTAAAGAAGTCCCTGCACCTTTTTTTTTTTTTATGTGCTACACCAAAATAGGTACTTTATCATCCGTCTTGGCGCAACTTCACACACGTAAAAACGCATGGTGCTTAAAGGTGCGTCGAAGTGTTTAACAATGAAGGGCACCGCAATGCGTCTTACAATAGTGACATGTTTTGGATTAATGTGGAATAATGCAAGTCTGTGTTTGTTGCTGCAACGCACAGATGTGATAAAGGGCTAAGCATCGGACACGCTTGTGGGAGTCTCAGATGCCTGGTCACCCTCTGCTCTCTGCTCTCTCATCCCCTGACCCCTACGTGGCTACAGGACATAGGGGTGACATAGTGGCTGGTGGATGAAGCCACAGCGCAATTGGAGGGACGTCATCTGTCAGTCCTCTGGATGTGTGTCACATGCCGAAGTTTCTTCAGCAGAACAAAGTCAGGACTTGTGACCGGCCAATCTATTTATTTTTTGTTGACTACTTAGTCCCTCAAAGAATTTGCGCTCTGCACTGTATTAGTGAATTTACATCTGTGTGCAGTGCAGTTATGGTACCCAAAACACAGGCATGGAAATTCCCATCAGTACATTTCAATCCGACAGATCTCTCCCAGGGCTGCTCCCAGCCTATGCTGTCTTCAGATACCATTGCTTCAGCTTACTTGGCACAGCGGCTGTCATCATGTGAGAATTAGTAATATTTTCTCTATGATTTGTTGTGTTTGAGTATACAAGTATTTTATTCATTCTGTCATTACCACGTGTAAGGCAAACATTCATAGTTACATAAGAGCTCAGCAATATCTTGTGCCAATACAACTTGGAGAAAGCTGCAAGCACTGTAGTGAATAACAATCAAAAACATATACATATATAAAATGCGCAGTGCTAAAATATATATAAATATATATCCAAAAGTATTGGGACGGCGGCCTTTACACGCACATGAACTTTAATGGCATCCCAGTCTTAGTCTGTAGGGTTCAATATTGAGTTGGCCCACCCTTTGCAGCTTCAACTCTTCTGGCAAGGCGTCCACAAAGTTTAGGATTGTGTCTATGGGAATGTTTGACCATTCTTCCAGAAGCGCATTTGTGAGGTCAGGTACTGATGTTGTACGAGAAGGCCGGGCTCGCAGTCTCAGCTCTAATTCATCCCAAATGTGTTCTATCGGGTTGAAGTCAGGACTAGAGGTGCACCGAAATGGAAATTTTAAAACTGAAACAAAACCGAAATAAAAAAGAATTGTGAGGCCGAAACCGATACCGAAAATGTTTTTATTTTTTTTATTTTTTAAATCTTTTAAATATTTTTTATAAACTTTTTAATTTTTTTTATATTCATTTTTTTATTTTTTACATTGCTTTTAGGGGCTTCGGGGAAATATTGGGGGTCTAAACAGACCCCTGAAGTTTCCCTTTTTAAAATAGAAAAAGAGATTTAGGACACAAAGTCCTCTATCCCCGGTTATCAATGAACAGGAATGAGTGTTCCTGTTCATTGATAACATGAGGACATGGTATGTTTACTATACCTACAACTATGAATGTACAGGAGGTGATGCAGATCACTCCCATTCATTCATAATTGAGGATATAGTTAACATACCATGTCCTCAATTATCTACAAACATTCAGCGATCGCTTAGTGTTTGTACCCGTTCTCCTCACTGACACGCTGTCACAGGAGGCTGATCGAGCGGAGCAGGGAGGTGAGCTCAGCCTCCTTTTGACAGCGCTGCCTGTCTCCACCCACACACCGCTCTGCCGGACTGTGATAGGTAGCTGAGCGCTGTGGGAGGAGAGCTCAGTCTCCTGTGGCAGCGCTGGCTATCTCAGCCCACACACCGCTCTGCCGGACTGTGATAGGCGGCTGAGCGGTGTGGGAGGAGAGACGCTGGCCGCTCACAGCGCTCTCGGCCGGCTGTCACTTTCTTTTCTCCCCGCTGGAACACAGAGCAGCGCCCAGCAGGGAGGAAAGAAACCAGGGATGCGCCGATGTATCGGCCGAAACATGGCTCTTTCGGCATTATGCCAAAAGTGCCATTTTCGGCCGATATGTTTCGGCGGCCGATATATCGGTGCATCCCTAGTCAGGACTCTGCAGGCCAGTCAAGTTCCTCCACCCCAAAGTCCCTCATCCATGTCTTTATGGACCCTTCTTTGTGCACTGGTGCTCAGTCATGTTGGAACAGGAAGGGACCATCCCCAAACTGTTCCACAAAGTTGGGAGCATGAAATTTTCCAAAATCTCTTGGTATGCTGATGCCTTAAGAGTTCCCTTCACTGGAACTAAGGGGCCAAGTCCAACCCCTGAAAAACAACCCCACACCATAATCCCCCCTTCACCAAACTTTACACTTGTCACAATGTAGTCAGGCAAGTACTGTTCTCCTGGCAACCGCCAAACCCAGACACGTCCATCGGATTGCCAGACAGAGAAGCATTATTCGTCACTCCAGAGAACGTGTCTCCACTTCTCTAGAGTCCAGTGTCGGTGTGCTTTACACCACTGCATCCAACACTTTGCATTGCACTTGGTGATGTAAAACTTGGATGCAGCTGCTCGGCCACGGAAACCCATTCCAAGTTTGAAGGTCTGTAGCTATTGACTCTGCAGACAGTTGGAGACTTCTGTGCACTGAACCCGCTCTGTCATTTTATGTGGCCTACCATTTCATGGCTGAGTTGCTGTTGTTCCCAGTTGCTTCCACTTTGTTATAATTACACTAACAGTTGACCATGGAACATTTAGTAGCAAGGAAATTTCACAGGAAACACCTGAATCCAATGGTTTGGAGGGGTGTCCCATTAGATAGATAGATAGATAGATAGATAGATATAGATTATATATCTATATATATTGGGACACCCCTCCAAATCATTGGATTCAGGTGTTTATATTATTTTTAGGTATGCTGTATGAAAAAAAAGAAAAATATATATAGTGGGGGTTTTCTCAAATTTGGCTGCAAAAGTAGAAATACTTCTTCAATCATACTAAAGCCTATTTCGGTACTGCAGCTTTGGCACAGAGGCGAGAAGAAGACATGGGGGGAATTTATCAAAACTGGAGCAGATGTTCATGTCAACCAATCAGCTTCTCTCTTCAGTTTGTTCAGT